AAGATCCCCCTCAATCGTCCCTAGTGAGTCCCAAGTTGGAGGAGCGCGTGGTGCAGAAAAGTTCCAAGAGGAGTCAGTATGAGGGAGCCACTTGGGCATCATTCCAGATCTATGGACCTTCCAAGTAGGTAAACTCAAGCCTATGGATGGAGTATAAGATGGTTTCCTCCAGTACTTGTTCATTTCTATCAACCTTATGCTTCACCCTTTCTGGTACGGCCAGTCCCTCTCTGAGCTGACAGGCAGCACATTTTGTTGAAGGCCTCCCTCGTTCATGATCCCAGTTGGCCTGAGCTAATTTGAGTAGTCAAAGTGGAATTGTAATCGGTAGCGGATAGAGCATCAAGTGGTGTAGCTACTACATTTACAATGAGGGAACAAATTCTGGGGAGAGACCCATCCACAGCAACTATCTTTTTTTGCTTGTTGCAGTAGCTGTAAGGTTGAACTACAACCACCAGAATAGTGCAGGGCCAAGACACTGATGAGCTTAATCAAGGCAGTGGTGATGATCCGGGGACCAGCCACAAACGGTGTCCCTCCCAGGTAAGCAAATTCTTCTGGATGGTTCAAAACACCGAAGTCTTGCGGGTCAAATTAACAGGCCGTTGGTCTATGGTAAAATCGCTAACCGAAACAATTTTTACTTTTCAAGTAGTTTCTTCAAAGCTTAAACTATTCGACAAGAAGGAACACCGAATGCCTCTCTCGAGTTCTATTGTTCATTGTAAACGTGTTGATGGACGGCTCATAACCGAACCTTCTTGGACGGCTCTAAAGCGAGCACTTTTGTACGGAAATTGCCGGAAAGCCTAATGAAAGCTGAAAAGCGAAATGTGTGAAGTCTCCATCGACAATTTGTTTCAGGAAACATTTGTCATTTTGAAACACTTTTTTGGTTGTCAGCAATTGTTGCCCTCCAATTCCAGCTAAACGGGGGCTTTGAAAGACATCGGATAGTTGGCAAGATTTCATGGTAGGAAGAGCCAGAGAGCGAGAAATGTAGTATCCAAAGAATACTTTGAGCAAAAACTTCCTACATTGGATCTGTTTTACCTCGAGTGGTCAGCGAACATCGATCTCGGGCTAGAACGATGCCTTACTTGTTGGGCGAAACAGTTGACGACGCCATATAAATTTTTGACACACTTGCAAAAACATAAATTAAAATGCAAAAACTTAAAATCGCAGGAATCTGCTCCATGGAAAGGTCGATTTCCCTGCCTTAGCATATCAGTTGCTCCAACCCAGGTCTTTTCTGACCTGAGGGATTCCTGAAATTTTCACGCTTCAAGAGTCAAGTCCAATTGACTCGAGTAGGCAATTGGCCTTAAAGGCACAGTTCACGAAAAAGTGGTTTCGGAGATTTGCACATGGTTTGAATTCGAAGCCCCCTCTGATACCATTTGTGCAGGAATGGTCGGAAAACAGTCTGGATAGGCACAGTAAGGGCAGGAACAGTGGGGGACGAGAGGACTCCGCCCCTCGCTAGGTTGACTACGAGTTCAAATTGTCCTTCACCACTTTCGCATTGGAGCAACATTACAGAAAAATCGATAGGCTGGTTGGCAAATTGCCCACAGACGGTCAGCTGATCGACCGCCTCGTGGTGGGACTACTATTAGGCTGTTTTTCTAGTTTTCGACTATATTCTACGCTTTTCTATTCTAATTAATTTTTCTCAGCCGTCGCTAAAAGGTCGAAATTGATTTTGCATAATAAATCAGATTAATAGCGGTAGGAGAATATGTTTTAATGAATAAGCCAAAATCAGCTGTTGGTGTGTTGTGTGCAATGGCAGACGCTGCGCCGCGTTTGTCTGACTCGCCCGAAAAATTCTTATCGCCGTTTTTTCGCCATTTAGCCCGTCCGACCCCCTTTTTCCCTTGTTTTTTGTGGCTCTCTATTTCTATATATTCATGTTTTTTCGCGTTTTCTCTTTTACCATTGTACTATTGTAAGCCGTATTTAACATTTTTTGTCAAATTTCGCCAAAAAACCGGATACCCCAAAATTAATGTGAACTGTGCCTTTAAATTGCCGAGTTCCTTCCCTCCGGCACCGGCTAAATAGGTTCAGGCATGAACTATACCATATCTCCCTGTAAGCTCGTCCCTTCCTCGAATCCTACTTCTATTTTCGGTCACCCTGCTGGTTAGGGACGGAACCCTATGTAGGGTACATTCTCGGTATTGAACAGAATTGTCGCGGTATTTTGTCGCTACTGCACAAGCTCATTCATTTGTTCAAGAGAAATGTACAATCTTTCTGTGTACCTTGAAAAAGGCGTCACCTTATGCCACACAAATAATATCAAACTATTAGTTCTTAAGAGTAACAGCACTGTCTTGCACATCGGCTACCACCACAATATATTGTGTATGGACCTAATACGCATTTAAACGCTACAGCGACTTCGAATTGGGGATGAATGCACGGTAACATCCCGAAGCGGGAAAGTCGGCAAGAAGTTTACGTCTAATTGTAAGTCTTCCAGAAAGTTTGCCCCAGTCTATCTTTTTGTTTGTTCGGGGACAGGCAAAGGAGGACTTTTTCAGAAGAGGGAAAGATTATCAGCTTGGGTTTTATGGAACTGGCATAATTCCAAACCCAAAAGTCTACTATTCTTTCTGATTCTTCTCAAGTAATTGACTCATAGTAAATCTTGTGCTCTGAATGTTTTTTTTTTCGAAATTTTGAAGAAATTCGGTTATGTAAGACTATTCCGGTGCACATTTGCAGGATTCGATCCGGGGTTCAACCGTGGGACTGATGATGCTAAGTGATCAATCAACGGCAAAGAATGAGACCGCTGAGACTTCCGGAAATGAAAGCTTTGTTTTTAACACTAGTAAGATCAAGACCGAGACCGAGATCTAGAGGAGCCTATTTCATCCGAATTTTGCTATGAGTTGGGAACCAGGATCAGATTTTGCTTGGTGTTGCCATATCATTATGCCTGACACTATCAACCCGATAGTGTCACTTTCACTTGCTGAAGCCCTAATCCTAATATGTGTAATTGGGTGATAATAAGCTTTCATCGCCACGTTGACACACGTCCACTTGGAGGCGGCGCTGCCTGCAAAGGCGTCGCTGTCTGATTTCTAGTATAACATGTGTTATAAAACTGATGCCTCGCTTTGTTTTCACTTGCTAGTCCACCTGGACACTTTCTTATGTTTGTTTCCGATGAATTGGCTTTATTGTTTGAGAACGATTGTGCCTTTTGACAACTGTAACACTTTCCACCAAACTGTGGATAGAAAGCATTTAAACGTATCGATTTCCAAGTTATTCGTGGCGGGACCCACTTCTTCTGCTTTCGACGGACTTCCCCTCACTTTAGCTTCAATTAACGTTTCATTGCTATCGAAATCTCTCGGTCTCGGGTAAAAACCAGGAAACTGAAATAATTTTTTTAAAGATTTGTTACAAAATGTAATAATTTCAATAAGATATGGCAGTATTTACCAGTAATTAAAATTTGATGTAGTGACAATTGGTGCACTATCACACAAGCATGGCCTAGTGATCGAGTCCCGTGTCGATACTACCTCAGATCTACCAAACCTTCCATTCCTCAGAATCGGTGTGATTCATACTCGTTTGGGAGTTAAAATCACTGACTCATATAATGGGTGGCCATCGCAAGTCACTGTGAAAGCCACATACACGTTTGAACGCTAATACTATTCTGAATGAAATTGGAAGGCGGGGCGCATCCCAATGAGAATTAATCAACGTCAAAAGACTCTATGTTTTTATTGGACAGCAAATTCGTTTAGGAGTGTGGAGACCTGACTCTTCTTCTATTTCATACTCATACTTCAACTGAATTTCGGCTCAGTTGCCTAGTTTTGACAACATTATACAGTAAGAGCCACATCGTGTGATCCCTGAACAATACTCGAGGTAGTCAATCTTCGTCTTTTTCATTTCAAGGCACCATCTTTGTTTATCTCATTTCTCACATATCCCACCCTGAGCTTATTGTCTCTGCCTTCGCTGTCTACACCTTTGCATTG